AGAGGCCAGGGGAACTGACCCCAGAAACTGGCTTTCTGGGAGAGGAAGCAGAGCAGCCAGGAATCTCCTCCCCTCTGCTCCCGCCATCCTCTGACAAGCACCCACTTGTCTTGGGATATGGTAGAGAGCGAGGAGGCGAGCTTGGCACCTGGAGAAGCCTGCCAGGCCCCTTGGCGCCCAGGTCAGGGAAGGTTTGGCGGGAATGCTCAGGAGGGGTGCCAAGCCCCACCTCCCCACACAGGCTGGCATCAGGATCCAAAAGGAGCCAAACAGAGAGCCATCTGAGACCCCAACGGGTCCTGAGAGATGAGGGCCATGCGGCCAGCACAGCAGTCTCCCTGGGGGGACACTGACAGTATTCAGGCAGAGGGCAGTGTGGCCTGAGGGTCAGGGAGGATCGCTCAGAGGGGAGAGGAAAGAACTGGGGTGGAGGCTGGTGATAGGAGCCCTGTGCAGGTCCCAAGGGAAAGCCTGGCCTGAGGAATGGGGTGGCATGGCCAGTGGCAGGACTGGTGGCTTGTTAGTGGCCGTGCTGTGACGGGAGCACCCTGGCTGGGAGCCAGATGCCTGAGTGGATTCTAAGTCCTTACTCTGGGGGTGGGGCTGGAAGCCCAAGGTGTCTATCCGCTACCAGAGGGAGGTCAAATGCCTTCTCTAGGGAGGTGATGGGCAGTCAGCTGCCCTTTCCTGAATTACTGAAGTCTCCTCCTCACCTGGTGAAGGGAGAAAGTAGCCAGTGACAGCAATCCCCTCTCCCCCCATCCTGCCAGCCAGAATCCTGGGAGCAGGGGGCATGGGCTGGAACAATTTCCTCCTGCAGATAAAGGAGTGGGCGAGGCGTGGGCAAACGCCAAGGTCTCTCTAGAGGCCGCTCAGAAACCAGCTCATCTGAATGCAGACAGGCAGCCGTCCCCTTCCCTGTCCCTGTGACTGCCACACGCCTGTGCATACCGCCGCCCCTCCCCCCAGCATAACCACCTCCAGGGCCCCTGGCTCTTTCCTCCATCTCAGCCCTCAGTCTGTCCAGGGCTTGCTCACCCTCAAGTGCCACCCACCTGTGTCAAGGCCACATGGTGCATGGGGGAGACAGGGACAGCGGGGAATCAAGGCGACCAAGGTGACCCACCAACAGGCAGGGCGAAGCCAAGGGTCTGCAACAGGAGGCAGCAAGGAAGGAGGCCTTCAACTCACCTCCCCTGATACCCTGGTGGGCAGAAGAACAGCTGAGGCGGGGGCTGAGGCCAGCCCTGATGCCCCCTGGGGGGCCAACATCAGGGTCCGGCCATGTCACCGACCCTCACTGGACCCTCTGCCCTTTATGAAGATAGAGAAGCAGCATTCGGGGGTGCCTAGCTGACACCTCCAGGCCTCGTGCTAGGCTCGGGCTCCCTCAGATTCACCTGGCCGCCAGCCCCTGTGAGGGATCAGGCTCCACCCACCAAGCCTGTCCCTCACTGTGGCCAGTCCCCGTGGCAATGGCTGGGCTAGAGTTTGGCAAGGATGGAAAGTTCTGCTTCTAAGTGCAGCCCCATGTCTGACACCAGGTACTGTAATCACAAATCTGCTATAACGCACGTCCTGAAAGGGCATCCAGTCAAAGGGAACAGAGGGTCACTATGACACTCACTGTGCACAGACATGCACACACACTTGGCTTTGCTGGCTGCCCCTACGAAGGGGGCAGGGACGTGGCCCCCGGGTACATTTTGAGTCACCCAAGTGGAGGGATGTAAAACCCCAGCATAACCCAAACCCCACACAGCCTAAAGCCTCAGGAGTCTGCAGCCGTCACAGCCACCAAGCCCAGAAGCAGCTTTGGATTACAGACTGCCTGAAGTGGGGTTATCTAGTCTCTAGGGTCCCCGAACCCCCCCTTCTCCTCCTGGGGGAAATCCAATGCCCGCACCCTACGAGGCCCGGGGGTTCCCAGATAGATGCCCCACCCAGAACCCACGCCTGCCTCCCAGCCCCAGACCACCCTGGGTCAACCACCTGAGAGGTTCTCACCTAGAAGACCTGAGAATGCAGGGAGGAGAGCGCAGCTGCCAGTATCCTGAGGTTTGTCCTGGCTCGGTCCCTTCCCTGCTCAGAGGGGCCCTTCCCTCCTGGCTACAGAGCCCTGAGGGAGGACAACAGCCACAGCTCCCAGGGATACCTGGTCAACCTCTGAACCAGCTCAGGAAATTAACACCGGGTCTGTCTCCAGCACTCCTAGGTCTGCCCCCTCTTGGGTGACTCCTAAAACTCACCTGAACTATTTACTCCTTTAAGGGGCGAGCCCCACCTGCGTCCCTAGGCAGCATGCCCTTACTGAGGGGCACTTTCCTGGCATGGCTCCTTACCTGTCTCAGGTGAGTTGGGCCGTGCCTGCCACCCCTTCCAGGACTCAGAGCGTCCTCCCCCCCTTCCTCCGCAGCTCCCTACCTGAAGCAGGAGCCGCCTGCTCTGGGTGCGGGCGGATCCCCCGGGCTCCCAGCGCTCTGCCCGAGCCGCCCGGGCTGGGGGCGTCCCCGGGGGCTGGGGGCCGC